AATTAAAAACAAAAAAACCCTTTATAATATCTAACGCTTTATTCCTTCAACTATAATTGAGTAGATAAGTCCACCACAAATTTCACATTACCTTTAAGCAGCAAAAATTAAGTGCCTAGAATTGAGTTAAGGAAAATTACCAAAACATCATTTTTCATCTCTCAAATGGTTGTTGTGACTCTAAAAGACTTAGCTCTAAGAGTTTGCATTTCCACGTACAATGGATCTTCATGCAGGAGAGAGAGTGATACCCAAAGAAGGAAAGAGAGAGAAAGGCACATTGGGATGGCTTGAAAAATCGGACTTGCAGCTGCAGGCTTGGTACTATCGTATTATATATTCCCAAATTGGTAACCTTAAAACCCCGAAAAATAGAAGCCATTAGCCACCTTGTACCGTTTGGACTATACTTTTCGCAAGCGGACGATTACCCACGCGGTCTCCCACTTCGCGTATTGCACACTCTCCGACGGCCTGCCAGGCAGCTAGGGGGCTGGGTCAAAGCACCCCATGCTCGAGGTCCATTTACTTTATTACCCTTCCCTTTCCATTGAACGAAATTGGGTTGCCTTCGAAAATTGTACATCATCAGAAGAACAATTAGTTATTTTTTTTTTCTCATTTCTTCCAAACATGTATGGATCAATTTGAGAGTGCCAGCCACAATCTGTGGTCTACGCTTATCCCTTGAAAACAAGGATAAATTAGTAAAACGAGGTCCTTAACTTGGGATACCATTTCAAAAATATAAATAATACAATCTGATAAGTTGGATATAACTATTTTTTATCTGTCGTTATCATTACAGGTATCGTACTTTTTACGTGTTATTGCTCGAAGGAAAGAGAAGGACCACATTTTTGCTTATTTTACTTGAAGAAAGGGACCAAGAGAAAAATAATCGTGAAACAAGAAGTACCAATACTTTAATTTCTTGATTTACCATTCACTTTATTCATCTTTGTTTATTAGGCGCATGAAGTTGATTTGATACTTATCTTTGTATCCACTTTCCTCTTTTTATTCAATCCTTTGTTTGTCTCAACGCAAAAATAGTTGGATTGCTGTGTATGAAATAATCAAGAGTCAATAGAGTATTTATCCTACCTAGAGATTAATGGCTCTTGCAGTATTTTTTTTAAATTTTTTTTTTTTGCATTTTCAAGAGGATAAAAAATCCTCATTTAAATTTGGTCAATCCAAAAAATACAATGCTTAAAACTGCATATTTACTTTTGAGCAAGTAGTTGAAAAAAAAGAAGAAGTAATCGAAATTAGAGATAAAAAGCCTTATGATGGTCGGTTGCTAGTAAAAAGCAGCAATTATGCAAAGACAAAGTTGTTTACTTTTGGGCAAGTAGGATGATCACTAGAGACAGGCGAAGTAAAAAAAAAAATAGGAAGTACGGGCAATTTATTTCGAACAACACCAATCTATACAAATTAAACAATAGCTAAATGTAGTCCGACTGAACTTTTGTGCCAAAAAAAATTTGCATCTTGAAATTATGTATCCACGTAGAAATATTTGACATATATCCAATTTTATGTCGTCAAAACTGAATGTGTCCAACATCAAATACCAACTTGATGAGCTTCTTTAAGTATCCGCGGAAAGTAAGTCCGAACACCATTTCTTTCAACTATGTAATCAAAAATAATAGTGATTGGTATCAAATTCAAAGATTTTTTAGCAGAATAGCCACAATTATAAGCCTTTCAACCCTAAGGAAGACTGGTTAATAAGCTTGGATCATATCCTTAAAATTTCCATTTCTTGCACTATAGAATCAAATTTTTACACTATAGAATGTATTGTGAGCTTTGGTGGAACCGGCCAAGTCACCTACCTTGTAGGCGTATCGTTGTTTTTCAGCCAAAATCTTTTGTATTCAAAGGAAAAAAATTGCCGTGTCTTCCAAAACTATCTCTAACCAAAAAGAAAAAGAAGCAAAAATCGCATAGTACTAAGATGGATCTCAACTAGGGGTGTTCACGAATCGAACCGATCGCGAGCAACTCGAGTACGAGCTCGAGCTAATTAAGTCGAAATCGAACTCGAGTTCGAGTGTTCGAGTTCAAAAACATTAAGCTTCGCTCGCGAACTCAATTATATATATATTTTTTATTTTAATAGTAAAATTACACATATATCCCTAATATTTTATTATTTGTTAAAAAATAATTATTTTATTTATTTTTAAAAATAAATAATTATTTTTATTTTTTTAAAAATAAATTTATTATTATTTTTTTATTTTTTAAGCTCGAGCTTGACATTTTGAGTTCGTTGAATTCGAGTTCGAACTTTACAAAATTAACTGGATGCTCGATTCGATTAGGTCAAAGCTTGACTTGACTCGACTCGTTTGCACCCCTAATCTCAACTGTGCTAGCATTTTAACCAACGATCATACAAACAAAATGAAATATAAGCAGTATAAGACCAAATGTATTTAGCATGAAAAACCAAAACTATTTGAGGTAATTTATATATCCGAAATATAAAATTTGAACCACCCTTTTTGTTTTTAATGATCTAAATCTAAATGACAATTAAAATACACAGACCAAAAGTAAAATAACTAATGATCATATTAAAAGACTATTAAGGGGAATAACTAGAAAAGCCTTCACTGACCAAAAATAAAATACACCAACGAACTTGGATCATACCCTAAAAGAATGATTTTTTAGTGGAATAACTAGTAGCCTTAGCAAGGATAGACATTTTTCGTTTTATTTCTTGGAAACTAATCGTTCACTCCAAATGCTTAGGCTGGCACTGTTTGAACCAGCCAATTCTCCTAAATGTAACTGTTGATGTTTTTCGGATTATTCCGGCATTCTAGCCAAATGGTTAAAGTGTTAAAAAAAATTTTCATGCTGAAAACAAAATGCCGTATGTTCCAAAACTCCATGTAATAGCAAATTCCTGAATATAGGAAAAGGAATCTCGCACAGTACTAAGATGGATGTCAATTGTACTAAAATGTTAGCCAATGAACGTAGTTTAGAAATTTTTATGTGTTACAAAATTCAAATTAGTTCAGCTGAATTTTTGTTGTGAAAGAAAGACTGCCTCTTGAAATTGTATATCTATAATTAATAGAGTAAATCTTATATACACTGACAGTGCATATATTATTACTGTTGGATCTATGATACATGTGTAAAAATTGAATTTTAAATTCAAAATTTACATAGTTGTCATTCATCTAACGCTGACAACGTATATACTATCAGTATATGAAAGATTGATTCTAATTGAATAAATCTTATATACATTGACAGTATATATACTATCACCGTTGGATCCATGACATATGTACAAAAAATGAATTACAAATTCAAATTTTGCATAGTTATCATTCATCCAACGCTAATAATGTATACACTGTCAATTAATTCTAATTGAGTAAAATGAAATATATGGTAGTATGAGACAAAACTGTATTCAACATCAAATACCAAAACAATTTGACCTACTTTACTTATCCAAAGAAATTAAGCTCAAACTTCTTTTCTTTTTCAATATAATGCTAAATTCAAAGTCTTTTAAGGAGAATAACTAGAAGCATTCACAAATCCTAAAAACAAAAAAGAAAAGTAAAGAAAAAATCAAACAACTTGGATCGTATCCTTAAGATTTGAATAATGATGCGCAATCGAATTGTTGCACTCTTTAATGTTTGGGCGAACATTTTTGGAACCAGAGTTGCAAACGAACCGATTCGAGTCGAGTTTTGGACTAATCGAATTGAATCTCAACTTAATTTTATCAAACTCGGACTTGAATTCGAACTCGATGAATTCTTAATGTAATGTTCGAGCTCAAATTTTACCTCAAATTCGAATCAAATCGAACTTGTGTTCGAGCTTAAAAAATAAATAAAATAGTAATTTTTAACACATAATAAATATTAGGAATATATATGCAATTCACTATTAAAATAAAAAATAAAATATATATAAAATCGAGCAGACTCGCGAGCTAATTAGTTGAGTACTTTTGAGTTTGAATTCAAGCTAAAACTTGACTCGGTTAGCTCGAACTCGACTCAATTTCGGCATTGATTGAGTTTGAGTCGAATTTTGACTTAAGCCGCTCACGATCAACTCACGAGTGACTTGACTCATATGCAGCACTAGTTGAAACCAGCCATGTTACCTAGATATACCTATTGTTGTTTTTCTGGTTATTTCCGGCAACATAGCTAACAGCTCAAAGTATTAAAGAAAGTTTCATTTAGGATCCTAAAAACAATAAGTTCTGAAATTATTATATCTGTAATAAGAAATGCTTGAATACAGGAAGAGGAAATACTAGGATGGATGTCAACCGTACTAGAATACGTCGTGCCCTTTTTTTCCCTAATATTTTTGATAGATGTGTAGTACGCACTAAACCTTATTCTAAACTATTGTTTATCCCATCATACATGCATAAACTAATATTAAATTCATCAACAGATGAAGAAAGTTAATCATACTTAATAAGTTAATCAACCAAGAGGCAAAACCGTCCAACCATAATATTAAAAAGGATATGTCTAACGAGTGGCACTAGTTAAAATATAGTTCAAATGTTAGATTTTTGAAAAGTTAAAATTAATTAGAAAAAGTATATAAATAAAAAAATATACCAATTGTTAAATTATATATATAAATAATAGGTTGGATGAAATTTATGTAGGTTAATTAGTGGTCATTGAACACTCGATATGAAGCAACATTTCAAAAATGGGAAGTAAACCGAGTTTAAATAAAATACGCACGCGTCAGTCATCCACAAGGGTGGCGGCACTTTTCCCCACCCGCTCCCTCACTAAAAGCAATAAAAAATCCCCACACGCTCTGTCATTGGTCCACGTGTTATACGAGGAGTGGTTTCTCTTTAGCGGTTTCGCCCCACCCTAGTAATGAAAGCTGTCTCTAAATACAACTGTGCCCTCATTTCTTGGTCGCTTTGCATTTTTATAGTACGCAACTTTCCTTTTATAGCCGATGATGTGATTCGAGGAAACTGACCAAAACGCCAATCAGTCCTTTTGTCTCCATCAACACTACACATACAGAAACACCAACCCACCACCAGATTCACCCTCCTTCTCTCTCTTTCTCTCTCTCTCTCTCTTTCTCCTTCCTCCGCTCTTGAGAGTTAGCAAGTCCTTTCTCTGTTTATCGCTTCAAAAAGTCCATCTCTAGCCCTTTTTTTCCTTCCATCTTTTCTTGTTTTTCTCTCTCCGTACAGGTTTGTTTGTTTATTCTCTCGAGCTAAAAATTTTTTAAAAATTTTTTTTTGGTTGCGAATAGTTTAGGACACTTGAAATTTTTCTAGCAGCGAGAAATTAGTCAAAAAGTTTGATTTTGTGTATACTGCAGCAGCGCGTGAGATCGGAGGTCGGACCAGCATGGGGAGAGGGAAGATAGTGATTAGGAGGATCGATAATTCGACGAGCAGGCAAGTGACGTTTTCCAAGAGGAGGAATGGGTTGCTGAAGAAGGCTAAGGAGTTGGCGATCCTGTGCGACGCGGAGGTTGGAGTCGTCATCTTCTCCAGTACTGGCAAGCTCTATGATTTCTCTAGCTCCAGGTCACTTCACCTTCCCATGATCTTCTACACATTTGTTGAAATCCTACTATTGCACTTCTTTTTTTGGGTTTTTCTTTTTCTGTTTTTTTTTTCTAATAAACATTTTCTGCAATTCCTTTAGATCTATTATGTATCTATGGATAATATTCAACTTCCATAACACTATAGCTACTAAGATGGAATACTGAAATTTTTTGTGGTTGTAATTAATAAGTGAAAATGGAACTAGCTAGGCAAAATTTATGATTTTTTAATTCAAATTTTGTCCATTTATGCAACCAATAGTTAAAAATTTTTTTGTACGAATTACACTTATTTCCTCGCAATTTTCTCCGGCAAATGTACTAAGGGAAAACTTAACTGTAGTTGCGCGCGTTGATCATGTATTTGGTAGGGTTTTCCCGGTCGCTTGATGTAGTTGATTATGATCAAGTTGAGCAACATATGTAGGTCCATGTTAATGTTGGTTGGTGAGCTAAACCAGTAGCTTTGTTGATTATAACTTCTTTAATTGACTACCATCAGCTAAAGGTTGAGCTATCTCAAAAAAAAAATATTTTGTGCTCATAGAACCCGCACCAGGTTATTGTATGTTGATGCGAGTAAACTTGTTTTTAGGGACAATGTATGCCAAAATTGGGTGAATTGAATATGTATTTCTTATGTAATGACTTCTACTTAGTTCCTTATTAATCCATCCAATTAACAATTAATACATTCTTGACTGCAGGAGTGAGAATAATTTCTAGGGGGGGGGGTGTTATCTGGCTGTTGATGTTGAATTCTAATTCTGGAAAGTTAGAACTTGTAGGAATGGCTGTAGAATGTGTATCTTTTAGGCTGCATAATCAATTGAGTTAGATGCTTGGATCAAGCATGAGTACATTGCAGTAATGCTTTCTTTAGGCTTGCCTAATGGTCATGCTAGTGTAGTTAGCGGTGAAGGAAATTAGGAACACGGCCATATGGGTAAAAGCTGCCTTGGAAACCTGTAATGTAAACGACTTAAAGAGATAAAGCATGCAATAGAAATAAATGGTCACCCCAGCGGACGAAAACTTGTGAATACTTAGACCACAAGGTCAATTAGATCAAAAGAAACAGAAACGAACTGTGAAGTTCTAGAAAAGTGCAGTTTTGGCAATTCTAAGCGCGCGGTAAAATATCAAGATTAATGAACTAACTTTTAGAAATAGGCTAAGAACAACATCCCAAAGGAAGCTAGTATGGCTTCATCTCACAATTCATCCATCAAGTTCCTACGTATTCGTTTGGAAAGCCATGACATTATAAGGAGTCACCTTCTCCGGTTCATCAAGAATACTGGGAACCTTATCATTCTTGATTAGGGAATGTCATACTTTCATTAATTTCATGCAGTCTAACATAAGTTACCTTATTATCTCATGCAGCTATGTCTGTAGCGGATAATAATGGAAGGACTCCTTTAGAATTCAGTGGCACTGACCTAGAGGCTATTAAAGATTTCAGGGAACTTGGTTTACGCTTGGAGTGTGATCTGTTCATCTAGGGAAGTTACATCTTAGTTTGTTGCCTGGCTGTGTCACTTGGAATTAATTCGTAGTTACTTACTTCGTAGAGGAAAAAATCTTGATCATTTTATTCACCAGGGACAACGTTTTACTAATTGGTTCGCATGGATGCTCAATAACTGTTTTTCATACTGTAAGAGACAATTTCTGTTCGACTTTGAATTTCTTAAGCTTTCAAGAATTAGTAGTTGGGAATTATGGCATTTAGAATTGACAGATATCTGCATTTGGCATTCTAGTACCATGGGATACGAGGTAGCATAAATAATATATAAGATCTGGAAGTTCCTAATTAAACTCTTTTCTTTGTTGTGTGTTACTTGCCTATTTTTCACTCAACTAATCAATCTTGTGTCTCTTTGTTTTCTTCTTTTTCATATTTTTCTTCCATTTATTGAACAATACCATCTCTCTTTTCTGCCCTCTCTTTTTTCCTTGTGGCAACTAAGCAATCTTTTCTGCACTCAACTTCCATAGAATTTTTTTTTTAATAAGTGGAAGGTTTTAGATTTAGGATCTCCAACTTACAATCCATTTCACCTTAACCCCATAAAGCTTGAGCTCGTATATATATTGCATGGTGGCATGCCATCTTAGCTTCTACGTATGAATGTTAAGAAACCAACTCATCAAAATCTTTTGCAATCATAAGCATCCATACCATATTTAAAATATTAAAGTGGAATAAATTTACTTTATATTAAATATTCTTTCATGCATTTTGTGAGGTGACATTTAATAAAACTCCATATACTTTTGTTATTGCCTTCGTAGAATAAGGATAGATAGAACTCCAATTGCAAGACGGGAAAACCTTCCTTCTATGGTATAAGACAAGGTTTATAAAAAGATGAGTTAGAAGTTAAAGTATGATTGAGGTTCGGTTCAGATCCATTCAACACTTTTTTTTGTAGGGATAGATAGTGATTTTCCACCGTGACTCAAATTCGTGATCTCTTGATTACAAGTGAAAAGTCATACTTCGTTGTCCATTCAACGCTCATTTTAAAGTTTGTCAAAGTAGATCCGTCTAAATCATGAATAATTAAAGTACGAAAGACTATGCTTTGGAATCATAGTAGCTGTCTAATCTTTCTTGGACTAGCCTAAGATGGTGATTTCGAAAACGTCCACTAGGCTTAGATGTGGTGATAGATTGCTATTTAAAGAAACAAACTACCATTTTGAAAGATTGTGGTTGCTTCCTCAACCATATTTTAGTTAATTAGTATACCTTCCTGAAGTAGATATACTTCTTTCTTTGAACTCCAGTAATTTAACTTAAGTTCCCAATCTATATAAAGAGTGCATGACGAATTTGCACCCCACGTCCTCATTCATATCACGAATAGGGCTGCAAACGAATCGAGCCGAATCGAGTTTTGAGCTAATCGAACCGAATCTCGACTAAATTTTACCAAACTCTAGCTTGACGAGTCGGTAATTTTCGAGCTCGAGCTCGACTCAAATCAAGTCGAGCCGAGCTCGAACTCGAGCTCAAAAAAAATAAAAAAATAAAAATTTTATTTTTAAAAAAATAAATAAAATAATATTTTTTTCTGAATAAATAATAAAATGTTATATACGTAATTTTACTATAAAAATAAAAAATAAAAAATATATATATAATATACGTAATTTTATTATTAAATAAAATTAAAAATAATATATATATATATATATATATATATATATACTTAAGCTCGCGAGCCGGCTCGTGAGCTAACGAGCTTAATATTCTTAGCTCGAGTTCGACTCGAGCTCGACTCGAGCCGCTCGCGAGCGGTTCGATTCGTTTGCAGCCCTAATCACGAAAGAATATGGAATCAAAACTTTCTGGTTCAGTAGCATATGATTCTTTTCAATTAAAGCTCACAATTGAGAAGCAGCCGTAGGAAGAAGAAGAAGAAGCTTCCATTAACGTTTTAAAACCCTTTGAAACTTAAGCTTTAACATTGGATGTTTAATATACCACTAATTTCCTTTTGGTCTACTGAGGTGAGAAGTAAATGGACGGGTAGTTCAAAACCAAAATACATATCTAAAAAAAAAGATTTGGTGGCCACTTAAATAATTTTTTGGGGCTAAGTCTCTATTATTCAATTCCCTTAAATCTAAAGTAGAACAACAATTTAGCCTAGTCTACTAATGTCTTATCTGTTAAAAAGTTTAATTTTTAAGGATAAAGAGAACATATGATGACATGATACTTTACATTCCTTAGCAAACATTTCAAATAGGAAAGAATCAAATAATGCTCGGATTACGATCTTAGAACAAAATGGCCGAATTGTTACTTTTTCACACGTTATTCAATTATGTTAGAAATGGTATACAGCCAAAAGTTACCAAAATGTTAACAAGTTTACATGAAAATAAAACTTGTCCAGCTATTCAAAATTCATGGACAATACTTTTTTTTTTTATTTTTTATCATTGTTCTATTTTTTGATAGAGAGTTTTCAAATCTAATGCTTTTTTACAATTACATGCGTATATACTGTCCGTCATCCTTGTGGATGTGAAATTTTGCACCCATGCAAGCTATGCATAGGTATGAGCATTGGTTGACATATGTGTATCTTGAATATGCCCTTTGTTATATAAAATTTTCTTATTTTCTAGCATATTTGTATCCATCTAACTCTTTTTGAAAATTATAGTCGAATGAATTAGCGTTTTCTAGTCAAATATCATGGAGAAATCCTCTTGATTTTCTCCCAAACAAATAAATGACATGAATGCATGTTAGATCACAAACTATTAGAGAAGGGTTCCCCTCTCTCCTTCCTTCCACCTCCAAGTTTTCTCTCTACACAATGTGCGCATCTCATGGTGTTAGCTTATGCTTGTACTTGATGAGAATTCCTCAATATGAATGAGATTTCAATTTTTAATTCTTCAATTATCACCCAATTCTCGTGGTTAGTAGTTGAGATTGGAATGTTGAATTAACTTGCATAATAGGTATGGAGTAAGGAGTCAAAGAAGCCATCACAACCCCAACAACCAATATGCTATAGGCGAATCAACAATAGTGTTTGAATTATGGCGAGAGTTATCTAATTAATACATGAATTATGAAGAATTTTAACAAATTTTAAAAATTTAAAGTGCATGGCATAAACCCCACTGTTCCGATGAGCTTTTGATGATCTGTACCCTTGGTAGAATTGTTTTTCACTGCAAACAGGTATATGTCAGCCACAAAAACCAATAAATAATTTTAACACGAATAAATAAAATGGTATTAACACAAATTAATGCATGAATTATAATGAATTTTAACAAAATTTAAAAATTTAAAGAGTCCTTCAACTATGTGAATGCATAGCGTAATCCCATTGTTACTTTGAGCTTTTCATGATCTATGTCCTTGATTGAATTGGTTTGCACTGCAAAATGGTATATGTTAGCCACAAAATAAATAAGGGTAAAAAACAAAAA